AGCAGCAGCTCCTCAGAGAGAGAATAGGGAGGGGTAAGGGCTCTGGCAAGCTGGGGCACACAGCCCATCTACAGGGGCCATCTGGAGTCAGAGCTACAAACTCTAAGATGCACTGGAGATGTAGATGTTTTTGTGGACAAGATAAGAGGCCATAGAGGGTGAGTGTGTGAGCCTGTGGATTCAGAGCACCTGGATGAGAGTCCGAGCTCTGCCTCTTACTCACTGTGGGACCTTGAACTAGTCATTTGAACCACCACTGTCTTATCTATAAACTGGAAATAGTAACTGCACTGATTTCATAGAGCTGTGAAGATTATTGAACAAGCCCACATTCTGGTACTCCTAGAACACCACCATGTGCCACGTCAGTACTGAGTAAACATTTATTTGTGAAATCAATCTCCTGATGTTTTCAAGCTGGAGATTTAAAACACAGTGGCATCAAGGATGGGCAGAGCAAAGGAAACAAACTAACATTCCTCTTGCAGGCTGGGGACCTCAGTTTTGCCACCCCCCACCCTGAGGCAGAATGGTTGAGGGGGAGGAAGCTGGCAGTGGAAGCCCAGCTCTGCCCAGGGGGCCCAGGTTGCTGTTCAGGTGGGGATCCTGTGGTGGTTGAGCTGGGCATTGTTGAGGGTCTCAGGGTAAAGGGCCTGGAAGTCAGCTCCCCAGCTTTGGTCTCACCCCTATGGCATAGGAGCCCTACATGGGGTCAGGGCAGGGGGTGGGGCTCAGATTCTTCTGTTAACTGTCACCCTCCCTTCCCCCTCCCCACACGAACCAGGGCCTGCCAAGACAGGGCAGCTCCTCACAGCTCCACAGGGACCCGTGCCAGCCAGGTGCCACACAAGGTCTCATGTATCTTTCTGTCCCTAGGGCACCCCTGCCCTCCTTCTTAGGTCTTCTGTCCTGCCTATTGAGCTCGGTTTTTTGGGGTTTTTTTTGAGACAGAGCCTCAAGCTGTCGCCCTGGGTAGAGTGCTGTGGCATCACAGCTCACAGCAACCTCCACCTCCTGGGCTCAAGTAATTCTCCTGCCTCTGCCTCCCAAGGAGCTGGGACCACAGGTGCC